CGTTGTATAAATATTATCTTGCAATTGTAGATTGGGCTAGCCATGTGTATGCATGTTTGCAGCATTTGTCATAAAACGAAAATTACAACAAAAATTAATGCAAAAAAGCGAAAAAAAGAGAGAGAAAATTGTGAAATATTCTTTCTATTCACCATAAACTTTATGTTATGGCCGACCATTGCAGTGAATTGTTTTTATTTTGTCGGCTTGATGCGCTGAGCCAACATCAATTGTGCAACATGGAAAAAATAAAACAAAACAAAAACTGCATAATAAAATCACGGCTTTATTCCACAAGTTTTTCTACACTGTTGCTGACGCGCACATTCATCGCTTTTTTTTGCTTCGCCCGGTTATTAGGAACAATGCAGACGATGTCGACGATGATGGCGGCGGTGGTGGTGGTGACGGCGGTGGCGACAACGACTCAAGCTGAACGCAACACATTGTTATTTCGTTTATAAATATAATCACTCGTAGGAATCCAATAAATTTTCTATTATAAAGTCTGAATGGGATTTTTGCTTTTTTTTTCACTATTTTCGACTCCATTCATTGCATTTTATTGCGTTTTTTTTTCTCTGGTTCTGTTCTGTGGCTGAAATAAGTCTGAAAGCTCGTTCGCACATTATTTTCCTCAGTGATTCATTTCCATTCATTGTCTGGATGCATAGAATGTGCGCCGTCGTCGAAATGTCTTCTTTCACACCAAACAAACGGCAAATTGGTAAAATTGTAAAGAAGCTTCCTTTGTCATCAGCAAAATTGATTCGATTTCTGCGCCTTTTTTTCGGCAAACACACAAAAATTCATTAACCTTTTGTAAGCCTCAGGCGTGTGTACTTCAGGTGGGTTGCTATTTTTTTCATCTTCTTGTTCGGTCCTATACCTCATTTATTAACGAACATCACATTCTCGCTCACGTTTCATTTTATCGCATGAGCTCTTTTTCTCCGTTCAAATACGGTTACCATCCAATTTATAGCATATTGTTGATCGAAACTGGTCGGTTTTTTTTGTTCCTTTTTGCACCGAGAGCAAACATCCAGATTCTTATAACATTAATGGAGTGCACGAGGAAGAAAATCCACCGGGAGGTTTTTTTTTTCCAGCTGCGTTTGTACGTCAAAAAGCGTTGGATCATTGCTTAATTACTGCCAACAGTCTCCAAATGTGTTTCACACAATGTCACAATATTTCAATGACGCTAACACATACAAACATACAAAATCGTTGAGCGTAAATTTCCACATCGGCGATGGATTCGTATACACACAACCCACGGCACTCAATTTGATAGCGGAAAAGCCATTGCCGTGACCATGTTTATTGCTTGGAGACTAAAGCCGAACAACAACAGTTCCGGACGGATGAGAGACAACTGATACACACAAAACACCAAATCCCTCTGCGTAATGTTTGCGAGTGTGGTTGGTTGATTGCATGCGTGGGAGTCGAAAAATTATCAACATTATAAACTCAACGCCATGGAAAAAGCAACAACAGCAACGACAACTTGAATTAAAGTTTTGGTTGTACTGTGTTTTTCTCTCTGCCACAGCAACATCATTTCGGGATCTTCATTGTGAAACTAAGTCCATTTTATTAGTTCATATTTACTCGGCACTTTTTACCGCGATGCAGACCATTTTATCCCACGGCATCTAATGCATTGTATTTTACAGTACCACCATCGCCACAAAAGCTTTTGTGGTAAATTTAATTTACTTGTCCATTTAACATAGACAAAACATATCATAATTTTCAAATATTTTCTTTTGTCATGTGTTGGGTTGGGTCGAGTTTTTTTTTCTCGCTGCTTCACACTCAACACAGACAAATCTCACTCATCGTCCAGTTTGTATTACATTGCCCGAAGCTGTAACCCGACTCCCCATTTAACACCACTCGAATGTGGTGAACGCAATTTTCAAAATTGTATGCTCATATAACTCCAAAATATAACAAACAATCTCTCTCTCTCTCTCTCTCTGACGAGAGAAATAAACGCGGGCTCCGAGATCCTCGCACCCTGAAAACAACTCCGAACCTAGGGGGTAGACACGAAATAACACTAGAAGAAAACTAGCAAAAATTGAGCATACTAGAAGTTACTAGAAGAATATTTGTGAAAAAAATTGAGTGATCTCTCTTCCATAAGAATAGCATAGCCAGTGGTTTTTATATGGACAAATTCTTCCATTTAAAATATACTGCCAATGCTTTGCTTATGGAGTCCAAATGTTTTGTTTACAAAAAGTACCGTTAATCCTTCCATAAGAAATGCATTGGCAATGCTATACTTATGGAAGAAGCAATGGTAGATACTAGAAATACTAGCAGAATATTTGAGTTTCTGCTTGTATACTAGAAAAACTAGAAGAAACTAAACGCATATTTGAACCGATTTGAACAAACTAGCTATGCTGGAAATTGGTGTCTAACCCCTAGCTCCGAACCAACATTTTTTGTGCTTTTGGCTTAACCAAAACATTCAAAATTGTATTTGATTATGTCTATACAGTTTTTGTGCGCTCTGTGTGTTTTCACTCGATCGTAATATGTGCGTTTATTTTGTTTATTTATGTGTTGACTTTAAGTTTTGGCGCATTGCAAGCACCAAGTTTAACGCAACATTTCTCTCTGCATATTATTAATATTTCATGCAATTGCATCCGAGAAAAAAGTCAGTGTTCTGATGAATTTCACACAGTCTGTGATAGGAAATCTCGTCTTTTGCTCTTTAACCACAAGCGGTTCGCCGGCAAGTTGATTTTGCTTTGCACGATTGCAAGAAACGAATAAGCTGCAAAAAAGCGAAGCCACATCGCCACGCGCGTGTTTAAATTTAATATTTAATATTTTGGCCAATGGCGCAGCATTTGCATGGTTGTTTATCTTTGTTGATGCACATTTGCCTGCTATTTCCCATAAAAAAATACTATGGTGCTTTAGTCTGTCGACGCGGTTATAAAATGGGTGTTTGTGTTATTGTATTGCGAACAATATTCGTTCGCGCTGTCATGTTTGAAGATTTTTTTGATGCCATAAAATCGTGTACCCAGAATTTCTTGATGATGGCTCGTGTCAGTACTTTTGACAGATTTCTCACTAAATACGTACTGATTTTTTTGCGCTGGCTTCGTTTGCTACGCATATTCGCTGATACGTTCAGTCTCGACGCTCTTTTTTTCGTATGCATTAATCATAAAAGGTTTTTTTTATGTGAGACAAATGCACATTCGCTCGTGTTTGAAACGAACACGTGATCAAAATAAAAGCGTCGGGAGAATGTAAGTGGATTTTTTTTCCAGTTTTTTTATTTTGACTTTATTTGCAGCAGCGAGACTAAAGAGACAGTTACGAACAATACTGATTGAGCTCTGGTAAATTGACGAACATGAAAAGAGTAAACATCAAATGGGCTTATTGTGGCTTTGATTAGAAAAGTTCTTGTATGATGTCGTCTTTACGGTTGTTTGCAATTTCTCATGATATTTGTTATGCGATTTTCGCACATTTCGTTCGTTTCATTGTGTGGCTTTGATTGGATTTCAAACGTTATTCAAACACTCCAAATTTGCAACGACCGACTGCAGATGAGAACATGTTATTTTCTAAACTCAAACAGAACTCAACTTTGAGCTACAAAAACCAATTTGAACGACAGGCGGACAACAGTGAAAGAAAATGCTTCTAACGAATATTCAATGGATGGAGGACAAAGACAGACCGCAAGCATTTCGAAAATCTTTGGCATAGTAATCATTTAGTAGAAATCATTGGCCACAAACTCCCTATTCGTTCGTTTACTCGTTATATTCAGTTTGCGTGTGTGTTTGTGTGAATGTCTGTTGTGCAATGTGCCATTCTCTGGTCAGTGCTCAATTTCCGTTTTCGGCGATCGCTTTTGTTGCCTACTTTCTGATTTGTTTGTCCAGTTTTGAGCATTTGATTTCGTATTCTCATCTTCTCGCTTCACTTCTACGTTTGCTTGCGTTGTATCTGCATAATGCTCGGCCGTTTGCTGTACATCGTAAATTATTTGCCATTTTATTCAGGAGGACGGTTTTCCACAGAAGCACCCATAATTGAATTTCAACAATTCAACGATCAATTGATGCCACATTATTCAAATGGACTGTGCACGAACACATCGAATCCTAGAAGAAAACAAACAAAAATAGAAGAATGACCGAAATGCTCGAGCTTGAAATATTTAATTACCATTCTTCTATTCAATTATTTTGAGCGAAGCACACAAATCTCATGCATGTGTACAATTAAGAGCTTTGAACGACCGATTGCATCCCTTGCTTATGTGTGTGCGTATCTCTCTTTCTCTATCTATCTCTCTCATTGTGGTTATTCGCTCAGTATTCGAGTGTATTGAATTTTAACAGTTATTTGTGTTTGTGTGCCTGGCTGGAATGGAATTTTATTGTCATTAGCCTGTGGTGATAAATCATTTAAAATTGAATTTCCATGCACAATGGGAAAAGAAAGCGAGAGAGAGAGAGAGCAGTGATAGACTGTATAAAAGACGCAGGTCGCTCCGAAACCAAGATGAAATTTGATTTTAATGCAATGCTATTTGTTGTTGGGCCGAGTAACAAATGTGGCATATTTGTGTTTGCAAATTGTGTACAGTGTACATATAAAAAAGTAGATTCTCAGCGGCCCGCACATGTTGGGACCGGCGAAACGAAATCAGGTTAAGGATATATTCATTGGGTAGAAGGAAAGTTGAGTTTTTTTTTTATCTCAACAAATTTCATGAAAGGTTGTATCTATTCATCGTCAGCCAACCACGTTCACTTGCCCCGAATTACTTTAACTCAATGACGTGCATGAGGTCGATCTAATTGGAATTCCAATCAAAAAAGTTTTTTTTTCGTTTTTCGGCCGGCTGCTCGAATGCAATTTCATCTCTTTCTCTTGATTTCACAAGCATTGGATAATTTCAATATCTTTTTTTTTTCGTTTCGCTTTCATTACAGATTTTCCAACAGATCGGACATTGTAAAGAAAAGAAATTTTTCTTTTCGTCATTATCTAGGCAGTGACGGTGAGTATTCGCATGGGAAATTATTTACAATTTATTTTTCTTTATTCGCTTGTGATTTTGTTTGCATATGTTTGGTTGCTCCGATTCCGAAACGACACAAGACAAACTCAGAAAGAGAGAGAGAACAAGTCATGTAAATAAACCAAGCGAACAATGGAAACTGCCATGAAAAATGCACCATCGCTTTGATTCATTAAACTTCAGGTTTTCCACGGTGGCACCAGAATAGCAACCAGAAAGACTGAAAATTCGAGAGAGAAAGAAAAAACAGAAAAGTTATTAGAATTCCGACAAAGTATTTTCTAAGTCTGTCATCCAATGAATGGCTGCTTAACGAATATTTATTATTTATCATTTGCTTGCATTAAAACTTTTGTGGTTGATTTTGAATGTATGCTGATTCGTTGAAAAAGTTCTTCGCTCCGTAGGAAATGAAATGCAAAAACTTACAACCATCTCTTTTGTTATGCATTGAATAATTGTAGGAATTATTGCCATCCGCGACACAATCTCTCTCCCCCCCCTCTTTCTCTCTCTCTCTCTCTCTCTTCTGAAATTGTTTAATTCTTGAAAAGAATACATACAATTTCAAAATTCAACTTGAGCATTTCAAGAAAACTAAAATTCATTTATCATCGCAATTCTTGTTGGCGTTACGAAGGTATTTCAACTCAATAGAGAGTATCTTTAACTATGCAATTTCAGCGCTAACCAAATTCTCTCCCTCGACTCGAATCACTACTATTTCTCGCTACTCATTCCAAGTATTTTACCGTTGTGCAATGATTTTTCTGCCATAGTTTACTTTTTCGGGCTCAGAAACATCCATGGCCACAATATGATATATAGAGAGTCCCCAGCTCACTCAAAACTAGGTGAATGACTACGACTGAATTTGATTGAAAATTTGCAGAGAAAATATTCTATTGTTGCGTCGTATTGTATCGTGGACGAGGATATTTTGCGATTTTCCGGACCATTTTGTCTATTGTTCTAAACGTATGATTACAAATGATGACAACGCAAATTATTTTGAGTTGTGACCAGTTCGTTTAGAATGCACAAGAGACGCACACGCCAAACTTTTTCCATCTCTTTTACCTCAACGGTTCAATATATCAGAGCAAGAAATGCATCAGCAAGCGTACGGTTGCTAAAATTAATCACGTGGAAGTTGTACGTTCATTGCCTTCCCTCCACCTCTCGCTTGGTTTTGCTCGGATGATTTTTATACGAGGCATTTCCTTTCATTCCATCAAGCGAATTACAGCTTGACAGGTTCATTCAAGTTATCTTACCGCCGAGGGAATTCAGGGCAGCCTTATAAATTCTCTCTTATTCATTATGATTTCAATGACTGATAAATTTTCTAAACATAGCAATAATTCTGTGAATCATTTATCAGCGGGAAGCAGAAACATTCTTCTACAGTTGCTTTGTTTGTGTACAAGATGAAAACTCATGAAAATATTATTTTTTTCACATTTCACCTCTGTGAGTGTGAAAGTTCATACTGTGAACTTCTGCACGAACACAACACAAACAAATGTCAAAGATCGATCGCATAACGAATGTGCGGAAGTAAATGAACAGAAATCAAATGTCAAAAGAAAAAAGGACAACAAATAGCAGCAAATATACAGCGATGCTCACACCTCTGAATTCTTCATGTGAGATTGAGAGCAGATCTAGATGCAGTGCACGAATGCCAACGAAGGCTGTTCACAGTTCGTCAAAGTGGAAAAATCAAGCATTTTATAACATTCGGCCAAATCAACACAATAACAATAAATTATTCGGGAGAGAGGATATTTATTTAAGTTCTTTAATGTTCATATGAGAGCTCTGGTTCAAGTGCCATAAGTTGCCTTCAGCCCATTGTCGAACTGTCGACATTGCTTCGTCATCGACCGATTTATTGCGCCTTCTTTTCATCACACAAAAATTGTTCGTTGCCCTTTTCTCTGAACGAACCATTCGTTGATTTGCCGATTACGGGTGGAAAGTATGTTTTTTATGATATCACAATGATTGTATTTGCAAAAGCCTACGTCTTGAATTTTGGCTTTTTCTTTTTCTTCTCTCGGTTAAAGCGTTTTTCTCTCTCGCACATGAACTTTCGTTTCAAATACAATTTGCTCTCATTTTCTCAACGGCAAACATTCACTGTAATTATGTGCATCGTTGAAATTTAGAGCGGAGCGGAGCGAGAACAAGACCAAGAGAGACAGCAGATTGTTGGCAAAAGGAGAGCGTCACCAATATTCAACGCAATTCACTTCCATTGACGGCATCATTGCTAATGCCAACGGAAAAATTCGACGCTTAACTGAATAAAAAACCTACCATAAATAACATCAATAAAGTAAATTAAAAAAACACAGAGAGAGAGAGAGAGAGAGAGAGAGAAAGAGAGAGAGAGAGAGAGAGATAAAAAAGTAGCAAGTGAAGTTCGTTGTAGACCGAATTTAAGCCGGATGGATCAGAAAATATAAAATGAGAGCACTTAGAAATATAAATGAAAATGAATGCGAACATATTGCACAATGTTTGTGAATGGAATAGTCGAATAGAGAGTTTAATCGTATTCGCTTAAAAGCCCATCCATGTTTTCGATGTAAAAAAGCGGATTTTCCTCCATTCGTCCTTCGCCTGCCGTCACTCTCTCCATCTGCGTTTCGTTCCGTCAATTGTTGGCATGCAAAACGATCCGTCGCTACATATTACGACATTTTTCTTCGTTTTTTTTTACTTTCTCGCTTCATCTTTGGAGGGACGGCGAGCATCAGCCGAAAGAAAGTATGTGTAGCAATTGGAATCGACGAAGCTGAAACTCAGACTCGCGATCTATGTCAACATTTGTTATCTTAAGTAGAAAATTATTTTATTTTCGAAAGCGGCCTTGAACAACAACAACAATGGCAACGACAGCAGCAGCAACTGGATCAACGCCATCGACGACTTTTTTCTATTTAATCCACTTTGGAATGGCCTGTGAACACTGAACAATTGCCGTGTTTATTATGAAATTTTCCAAAAAAAAAAAATCCATTCTATTTCGTCGCATTTTGTCACCTATTTAACCAAATATTCGGCGAATGCGCGCGCCTTACGATAAAAAATTATGTGCAACTGGTTTTTGTCAGTAATTGTTGACGACGATAAGAGCAAAAGACGAAAACAAGAGCGTGCAGCGTTGGGCTCCATTTTTATACATTTATACGTATATACGTTTGACATTTGCCCTTGCGAGTTAGTAATCTTGTCATGCTTTCGTTGGCCAAAAAAAATTGAAGTCGAACGAAAAATAAAGCCCAGCTCAGCGAGAGAGCACACAGATCGATGGCAGCGAATATTGTGCAAAGCACGTTCGGCCATTCATTCCGCTACCCATTTCAGTGAAATCATGGTGCTTTACACACCCCCCTTCTGCTTAGTAGGCCAACAATTGCTACGATAAATATTGAATTAAAATTCGATTCTATTCACGAAATTGCAATTCTTTACTTAATATTTTATTAGCGCGTTTGTGTTATTATTGCGATTTCTCACTTTTTTCCCTTTCGCTTCGTTCAATTTCTTTTTGTTTCAGACGATAGGATTTCACAGTAATGTTTTATTTATGCTGGCAAATCATACAATTTAAATTTTTCATTTTTACACTTGTGTTCGTTTGATTTGACGCACACAACGGTTCGTGTGGCATAAATTCTGTTTACCCAACGAATGAGTGTTGAAAAACCCCTCTCTTGTTCCAAAAAAATGACGGTATTTATGACGTTGAGAAACCATTTTATTGTTTCAACAATTTTATGAGGTTTTTATTTTCACGTGCGCTCCGCTCCTCATCACGTCAGCAACGGCAACAATTTAGGGGCTGATCAAATTCCGGCTATGAACATACTACACTGAATCATAGAGCTTCACTTGGCTTCTGGTTTCAAGCGCAGCTTCTTGTCATCTCGACGAGGGTTAATTTATGTGCATTTTGAAATTGAAATCGGAACTTTTTTCTACACGCCAAAAAAAATGTGTATGTTAAGCGGTTAAGTTTTTTTCCACTTTAAAACTATTCATCATTTTATTTGACTGCTCAGATTTTCTCCGTGGCTTACCTTTACGATAGTTTCGCTTCGTAGCTTGAGATTTTCACACACATCAACATGCATAGTGGTTTTCCGCATTTGCCTGTGAGATTTCAATTCTGTTTTCTCCATATTTTCTTGTGTGAAAACAGCACTTGGAGCAAGCCAAACTTGAACGTGAAATGGAATTTGCAACTTTAATCAAATAAAAAACATGAAAGAATATTCGCCAGAACTGATTTTATATTTGAAATTTGGGCAATTTCAACGCAATTGTTTAAAGCCATTTTTTCCTTTGCTGACTGTCTTGTTATACTAAATACTAACCAAAAATGTTTTCGACTCAAATTTTGCTTCAATCACGAAAAATTCAGCAATGAATACTATTCATTGAATAGATCGTTGTTTAACTTGTGTGCAAAATTTACTGCGAATACAAAGTGGGATATGCTGGATTGTGATTCATACAATTTTCGATGCATTAAAAGATCACGCTGCACACAATGTGTCCACTCATTTGCATTTATAGTATATTTTTTTTCGGTCTCTGGTTGTTTGTGTCGGTGAAACAAACTCCTGAAATATTTTAATTTTATGGCAATACAACATGGAGAGAGAATGAGTTGGAAATTTAATTGAATCGATGTCGAATGCGAAACAAGAAATTCCAAAATTGCAATGAATGAGAGCCCACTTATTTGATTGTAACCGAAAAACAAAAACAGAAACAGCGAATAAAGAAGTGCCCCGATTTATTTACAATGTATATTTTTTGTATCAATATTTGTTTGTGAAATATTTTACGAATCGCGTATTATTAGCTCAGAGAGAATAAATAATTCGCTTTTTTCTCTCTCTCACTCCCCGAAAAAAAATGCTTTCACAAGATAATTGCATTTTTCCATGTGATTTCTC